ACCCAACCCCAAACCCAAACCCAAACCCAAACCCAAACCCAAACCCCAAACCCAACCCTTGTAAGAGCTTGAATGATCAAGGTTATCTAACAAGTATTATTGATGTCGAATGACTTCAATAATATTTTAGATCAGCTCTTAACCACTTCCAGCATTGTTTAAAAAGTGATTTAGAATTTATTTCTATTGTTTTTTTTCTATTTTTACTCTTACTCCTCCTCTTGTTCTTGCTTATTTTTTAGTTTTGTCTTCAAGTTTTTTATTTTCCTCTACTTATATTCTTCCGTACTATTCTTATTTGAATGGATTTTCTTTAAATTCTTTTTCACCTTATAAATCCTCATCGCTAATATTCTCTTAATCCCAAATTCCTTAATTACTCTTTACATAATTAATTTCAAACTCTTATTATTGTTTACTATGTTCTTACATGTTCCTTTTATAAAATTTAACCACTATTTAAAAAAAAATTAAATTTAATTAAATATTATGACTATAACACACAACCTTTATACAAAAAATTTTAAATTGATTTTTATTAAAAATTAACTTTCTCACAAAAAAAGTTGATTGATCTAAGGCTTTATATTAGAATAACAATAATTCTTATTTAAAATAAAAACAAAATATTATTCCACAACAAATTAAAAATTTTGAAGAAACTTTATAAAAGTTGATATTGAAACCTAATTATAAAATATTTTATATACAAAGAATGAGTTAAATGTATTTTTCAATATATTAAAAAGACTATGCAAATTATTAATTTTTATTATTTCATAAGAATGAAAGAAAGCTTAAAAATATTTTAAATATTTCTTTCATGCCAATTTAATGCATAATAGATATATAAATGGCATCTAAATACATTTTTATATTAGAATAAAATAGTTGAATATGATAATATACGCTATAAAATAAATATTAAAGAAAATATTTTGAAGTAAATTTTTTATTTTTTTTACTTTCTAAATATAAAATTAGAAAGCTTAAATCATTCCATAATCATGCTGTGATCATTCAAAAGGTAAATTATGTAAATTCAAATTATAGATGATACTGAAAAAATTGATATGGATTTTTTAAAATTTTGTAATTCAGGAAAAAAATAAATCATCAAAATTCAGATGAATACCAAACAAAATTTTATGCTTAAAGTAGATTAAAAAACTTATTATAAAAAAAAGTAAGCCAAAATATTAGACAAATTAAATGGATATGAAGCAATTATTAATTTAACCATCGAATTAAGCTTTTTATTATCCTGTCTTAACATCCCAAGTTTAGCATTGTTATTTAAAATGCTCAAACAATATGTAATTATTTTGTTTAGTTTATTTTCTTAAAAAAAAGGTTTATTATTTTGTTGTAAAATTGAAATATTTGTAATAAACATTCTTATCATATATAAGCAAGAGTTCAAAGAGTAATGTTAATTTTATTA